ATTGTATTTTCCAAGTGTAGAAATAGGTGTTTAGCATTAAATCGGGTGAGTTTATTTTCCAATCCTCTTTCTTTTTAAAGAGTACTTGAGAGAGTAACCAATCAATCAGCTCCAACTTACCTATGTAAATAGCCATTTTAAGGCCTACCACTCCTCCCCCAATCACACTCTACTTCCAGATACCCTCTACAAGTTCTCTCTCTCTCTCAAGAACACCAATCTGGGGTTTGCTTCTCTAGTAACTTCTTTTTCTTTCTTGATATATATCTCCTTATAGAAATACCCATATATAGCAACAAAGTTTCCACCTTTTTTGCTCTCTTGCAACCTTCAGAAACTTTGCTTTTCGCTTCACGAAATTGATTAAGCTTCTCAGATTTTGTTATTAATGGATCTTGATCTGCTTAATTAATACGGGCTCCTTTTCTTGAAATATTAGGTCGATTTCAAGAAACCAAAGATGGTGAGAGGAAAGACCCAGATGAGGAGGATAGAAAACGCTACAAGTAGGCAAGTGACTTTCTCCAAAAGGAGAAATGGTCTATTGAAGAAAGCTTTTGAGCTTTCTGTGCTTTGTGATGCTCAAGTTGCTTTGATTATCTTCTCTCCAAGAGGCAAGCTCTGTGAATTCGCAAGCTCAAGGTGTCATCCTTTTCGCTTATTTCTGATTGTTGATTGATTTAAAATTTTCTTTCTGATTTCTTTCATGCATATACCTATACATACATACATATAATATACACAGATATATGTGGTATATATGTATATATGTTTTATATGTATTGTTTAACTCCTTTATAGTATAGGTCTAGGTTATTAATAACCTTAGGGTTTCTCTCTTCTTCTCCTCCTCTAACTCACACTAGAATAACACAGAAACACAAAAATATTTAGATCTAAAACTTGGTTCAATTTATCACTTTTAGGGTTACGAATAGGAATCTTTATGGTGTAAACATATTGGAGTTCGTCGTCACTTAACGTGAACAGTTAATAATATTTTAAGATCAGTTAGGGCGAAAGACACTGTATATAGTCGACCCCCATTTCTCTCTCTATCTTTCTTTCACTGCAATTAAATCTTGTTCAAAGGGTTTTTAATTCGAATCCACTCCGACTAAAACTTCTTTTGAGAAGCTATTTTGGAATTAAAATGGTTTTTTTTAGATGTTAGTCAATAAATTATTAAAAACATTCTGACAAATTTTCACTTGTTCCTTGTTGGGATTCTTGTTTTTTCATGACATTTTGTGAATGACTCAATTAAGAAAGATCTACAACTACTCTTTGCCAAGCATGTTTCAATCAGATTATAACATGAAGTGGTTTGTTTCATATATTCCAACTTCTTTTCAACGCAGAAAGTGATCAGCTTTTGCTTTTCTTCTGATTTTTACCATAGAAAGAATCAACTTCTAAATATATATGATTATAGTACAACATATATTATATTGTTAATTAATGTACTAATTAAGTTAGATCTAAAATATTATTAAATTGCATGTTAAATTAAGATTAACAACTTTTAATTGTTAAAATTCTTCTTGCACCAAATCCAATATTTCATAAGTAGCAAAATAATGAAATTTAGCTTGAAATTTGACAAATAAAAGACACTTCAGTTGATCCAGACTAGTAATTTTTTTATAGAAACAAAATGGATATTTTTCTCCGTTGAAGCAATTCTTCTCACAGTTTGAAGATGAATTAATTACAGATATCTTCCAACATAAAATAGATGCATTTGTAGATCTATAATGTGCCAATTTTAAAAGACACTTGAGTTGACTAAGTTGTATATATTTTTTTTTTACAATTTGGTTATATATTTGAATGGAGTGAATAATCGAATGTGCTTGTTCTTTAATAAAATTCTATGAGTTGTATTGTTATTGTAAAATTACAATCGCTATGTATTTATCAAGCAATTTGTGAAATATAACAACATTTTCTCCATCAAATTGCTTTTCTCCTTTTATCTTCAATTGACCATTAATTTATAATTAATTACTTTATTCTAATTGATATAAATAAAACTGAACAAAGTTGTTATGTTTTATATAAATCTTAGCATGAAATAACATTATTTTTCCAAAAATAGAGGTCGTAAGCAAGAGATTAGGTCTTAGTAATAACTAATAGTTAGTCAACAACGTGCAGACCATTCCACCCATACTAATACAACACAGAATCATAGATGATGGGTGTTAGTTAGAACTATATGGCAATATTCCTCTAATTAATGTATGGTTTAACTAAATTATGTTACTATCACTTAAATGTTCAAATATGACTTGCTAATAATAAAAGTTGTACTTAAATCATTGTATTCTATGGTCAAGCGAAGAATTTCTATCGAGTAATTAAAATTTGACCTTAACAATGAACTATTTTGTCGCCCTTTGAGTCGTTATTTACATAACCTTCAATAAGTGATGTAACACTATATGTCAAAAGACTAAGCTATATATTGGGTGTCAACTATACGACATAATTTTAATATATTTTCCATCTATTAATTTGTTAATAATAGAGAAAATGTTGTCATTTACACCTAATGTTCGTGTTTGTAATTTTTTCAGCATGGATGACACTATCGAACGTTACAGGAATCACGTAAAAGAAGTTCAAACTGAGAATTCTTCGAGTGTAGAAGATGCTCAGGTTCAAATCTGTCTCCATAGACATGTCTTCTTTCTTATGCATCGTGTTCTTGGTCTTTCAACCCTAAACCCTTTACAGTACTGATAAATTAAATTCTGTCACAAAATTAAAATTCCTTCATATGCTATGAACTTTTTGAACAAAATTGGATTGAAAATGTTGTTTTGCTTTGAATTAAATCGACTGTAACTACAAAAACAACAATGTTTTTAAAATTCCAAAGTCATAGTTGACTTTTTGGAAGTGTTACTTATTGTCCTCAATTGTGTTCAGTGGCAACATTTGAAGAATGAAACAGAAAGTATGGCAAAGAAGATAGAACTCCTGGAAATAACTAAAAGGTTAGAATTTCATGTTCTGGATATGTTAATTGAACTTTAAATCACCACACATGTAGTTATGAAACTAAGATTAATTGTTGGTTCTAAATTAAAGCTACAATAAAACCATCGATCCTAACATCTTAAAACTTTATTACAGGAAACTTTTGGGAGAAGGTCTAGGATCATGCACCATTGATGAACTACAAAAGCTTGAACAACAGCTAGAGAGGAGTGTATCCATCATTCGTGCTCGAAAGGTTGAGTTTTTTCACACAAAAGAATGAGAAGTTGACTCTCAAAAACTGATTTTGTTTCAACTGATCTTGAAATTCTTTGATTTATTTTGACTTTAATTGTTGGTGTTTCAGATGCAAGTATATAATGAACAAATTCAGGAACTACAAGCAAAGGTACAATACATAAATATGAGTTGATCATTTACTTTTAGTAACATTACACTTTCATATATACTCAATAAATCACAATTCTATATTTTCGTTTTCTTTCACCTTATTAAGTTCTTCTAAACCTATTTGCATCATTTTAACTCATCTAACATGTTTGGGTTAGCTTTTTTAGCACAAAAGTGTTTTTTAAGAAAAGTGATTATTAGCTTATGGCTTTAAGGAAAAGTTGGTTTTAAAAAGTATTTGGATAAGAAAAACTGCTTTTTAAGAGTAAAATAGTTAAAAAGCTAAAAAGTTAGGATTTTCCAACTTTTTGAAAGCTTTATTTTTTCATATCAAAAAAGTTGTTTTAAAAAGTGTTTTTCAAATACACAAACACTTTTTTAGCTTATTAGCTTTTTGAAAAGCTAAAAAGCTAATAAGTTATTTTAAAAAGTAATGTCAAACACCCACTAATTAGCAAGACATCCCACAAACATATAAATTATATTTCTAGAACTCTCATCATATATACCATTTACTTCTAAAAAATTTCAGGAGGGATTGTTAGCATCTCAAAATGCAATGCTAAGTTCAAAGGTAAGGTTATTCTATTCGTTACTCTTTATGGTTTAACTGACATTAAAAAAAATGGCAAACCATACCATCTAAGCGGTCCATGTAAACGGCCATAATTAATACTAGCAGTATTTTAGGTGTGCTATGGTTTGAACCCTAGACCTCATGTGTGGAATTCTGCATCTCAACCATTAGGATCCCAGGGGGCTATAATTATGCGATTTATAGTCATATGTATACTGCTTAATTAAAAAAATGCTAAATTTATAAATTATAGATGAAAAATGAAAACAACATAAATGAACTCGAATCTCTCTTTCAGTGTCTAGTCCAAACTCAGGAAAAGATTGATGAACAACGACCCATGTTGCAAATGATTGAATGTGGAGAAAGTTCAGATGTCGAAACAGAATTGTTTATTGGATTACCCGAAAAAAGGATGAAGCTTGATAGACAAAAATGATGGTTAAAATATCCATAAAGCAACACATTTATATATCTATAAAGATGTTATTTGTGTTTGGTATCAAAAATCTATGTTTTGCCATTGACTTGCGAGAAAATGTTCATGGAGAACCGAATGGAATTTTGGTTCTTGTACATATGAACACATAATGTTGATCGCATCATTGATCTTTCATGTTGTCTTAGTTGGTTGCATCCTTTGATGGATTTTATGAAATACAATGACTTTGGTATCATGTTCTTTATTAATCCTTTTCTACACATATTTCTCCAAATTATAAATCTCATTTTGATTGTTGAAAATTGTTATGTTTACGATTGACACACACATGTACGCATCAGTCTCCACAAGTCAGTAGAAATATATAAAGAAAATATAAGCATAGTTAAAGGAAAGTAACAAATTAAATCCTCATTTACTTCATGCATGTTACATATACAATAATTACATAGACAAAAGTAAGAAAAATAATGAGACAAATTTCTGTTTTTTGTTCATGTTTTTTCTTTAGCATATTCTACCTTGTAGAAGACAGTTTAATAACCATTTCTTCTAATTTCAAACAAAAAAAAACGACACGTGTTATTTAGATTCTGATTCCTCCAGCTTCTTATGAACAGCTTCCTTCGAAGGCAATGATGGAATCGCTCCTCTCTCTGTAACTGTAATGGCCCCACAAACATTTGCAAACCTCAATGCATCTCTCAGCTTCTTTTCATCCTAAAATGGGGCATAACATAAATCTTTTAAAAATCAATATATTCAGAAAATGAATTTTTTCAGCCAATTTTTTAAAAATGTTTAACCTTGAATAATTGAGTATTTGCAGCTAAATTGAGAAGGAGTCCTCCAACAAAAGCATCACCTGCACCCGTTGTATCAACACACTTCACCTTAACACCACCAACTTTCCCATGAAAATCCTAAAAAATAAACATACAAATTGATGTAATGATATCAATTAAGATAATCCAACAATGGAAAATCGTGTTAAATTGACAAAAATAACCTTGGTGTAGTATCTACAGCCATTAGGACCTTCAGTGACAATCAACAACTTAAGATTTGGGTGAAAAAGCTTGGTCAAGACAACTTTGTCATCATAGGGATCATCACCTCTAGTCAAGAACTCAATTTCATCTTCACTAATCTGTAATTTCCCAAAAAGTTAAAAACCCATTAAAGTTTTAAGTCAAAAAAAGTCAACCCACTATGAAATTTTGCACCTTGATAACATCTGCTTCATCCCAAATGCTCATGATGCCTTTTCGAGCAGCTTCAGGTGATGGCCATAAAGGTAGTCTCAAATTAGGATCATATGAAAGAATGCATCCTGCTTTTTTAGCAATTTTCATTGCAGCTAAGTGAGCTGATTTGCATGGATCTTCAATCAAACTAATGGATCCGTAGTGAAAGATTGTTGACTGGTCAAATAATAAAAATCGGCCACAATTTAATCTTTCAAAACATGCAGCCATAAAAAATGGATGATTGAATGTACCTTTTTGATCAAATCTGTATCGAGTTCTGCCTCTGTGAGAAGCATATCCGCACTTGGATGGCGGAAGAACATGAACTCACGCTCTCCATCGGATCTTAGGGTTACAAATGCCAATGCGGTTCTTGCATGTTTGTCAAATCTCATTCCTGTGTTATCGACATTGTTTTCTTTGAGGATGTTAGCCAACATGCGACCAAATTCATCGTCCCCAACCTTGCCAAGAAAACCTGCAGATCCTCCCAATTTTGATACACAAACTGCAACATTCGCCGGAGCACCGCCGGGAGCTTTCTTGAATCCCGGAGCCTCCGCCAGTGAAACACCGGAGACTGTGGGCACAAAATCGATCAAAAGTTCTCCGAAACACACCACTTGTGGATTCTTTTTTCTTTTGCTTCCATCCTCCGAACCTACAGTGCCGGAATTCAACAACGCAATCGATTATGATAGGCAAAGAGAATAGTGGATTGGGAAATTTGGGATGACTTACTTGAGCTCACTAATAAATCTTTAGCGCTCTTTACACGCTTGAAGTCACCCATTGCGGATCGATTGGAGATGGTTGGAAGACAATAGCCCGTTTTGTTGGTACTGGAAGATTTGGTGTTCGTTTGATCCATTTTTACAGAGAGATTAATGGGAAGGAGAAGAATCGATTAAGAATTATGTTAATGTGGTTTGTTTTGGTGTTTGTATGTACTGTCGATTTCGAAAGTGACAAAGAACCCATAAAAATTCTTCTCCCAAATTCCCACAAAGACAAATGAAATTGGTGGGGTTTGTTGATTCTCTGATTCCTGTTATGGTGGAATAGGTAGAGGATGGTTGATGAATTGTCCAGAATCAACCGATGGTCCAATTTCATCATTAAATATAGTGATATCCAACTAAATCGATCAACCCATTCCACCTTAATCAAATTCCGTATTGTACGCTCGATCTCCGTGCCCTCCGTCACGTCGGCCGGTGGAAGATCCTCCAATCCACCACCTCCTGTTAAAAGGGGATATATTTTGGGTTTAAACTTGCTTTATTGAGTATGCATCATTATCAACGATTTTGTTGGGTTTCAAATCAACTGCGGTTGAAATAGGGTCTTGAATCCACCCAAAAAAGCTTCGTTACAAGCGAAGGTGTGGAATTTGCCAAAAACAAGTTTGAAACTAATAAATGACATTTCTATTTTCTGCTCACTGACATCTTACTATTTTTACTATAATATCTACTATTTCTACTGTAATAATAAATAATAATAAGATAATTTTGACACTGTAATAATAAATAATAATAAGATAATTTTGACTTGACAATTGTCATATTTTTAAATAAATTATTTTTAAATAAATAATATTCATATGTTAATTTATAGTTTTTTTTAATTTTTAAAATTAAAAAGTCATATAATACTTATATTTATATATGTAAAGTATCAAATGTAATAAATATTATACTAAATTGCAATTAATATTTTTTTCATTCCTTATTTTAAAATTTTATTTTGAAAAATATTTATTATTTATATTTTAATATTTTATTTTTTTAATCAACCCGTGTAATACACGGGTTTTACATCTAGTTTCTATTTAATCTGCATAAAACATCATATTAAAACAAAGGAAGGATGAGAAAATATTAATAATCCAAAATTATATACACCATTTTTTTAAGAAAACCTATAGTTAACCTGAAATATCCAAACCTCGCTTAATACCAAATTACCCGTAATCAATTACCTGGATTTTTATTCAGTTCAGTTATATCATATCAACGCACCCGAGCTACCCAACTAAAATACCCGAAACTTGAAAGTTATACCCGATCAACACCCTTATATTTTCCTACAAAGGTCTTCTCTTATTATCTATATAAACTGTTCTAATGATATAAGTCATAGAAATAGTTTTTTTTTTTTTTTTTTTGAAATAGTATTTATATAATAATAAAATAACAAAACTGATCTTTATAGAATAATAGGAAATAAAAACGGCATAGTGGTTCTATTTTACAAAATTACTCTTGTTTAATAGTATAAAACAAAATTACAAAAATACTCTCTATATAATAATAAAAATATATAAAAGGTACGTGTGTCTGTAAAATACAAATATTATTGAAATTGTCATGTGTTTTAAATTTGCAAAATTATAAAAAATGTTTTATTTATATTAGTAAACTAGATGAATATCCATACGTTGTATATATTTTAGCTACAATTTTTGGAAAAATATATTAATGAATATAATTATGTTATTATAGTATATATATATATATATATATATATATATATATATAAAGTTATTTTCAATTGAAAATCATTATTAATAATGAACTAAACAACCAATCGTTAGCGTTGAAAATCATAACAATCAACGGTTCACGGAATGGTTGTAGATTTTGTACATTGGATACACCGGATCATAACAAAAAAATTCATTTCGTTTAATTTTTTTAGGCCAAGTTTTTTTATCGAAGAAAAAATAACTGAATATACCAATTTTCATAATCTTTCGTCATCTTTCACTTTGTTTTTTATGTGTTTTTTTTTTTTTTTTGAAAAGTTAAGGTTTAGTTTTATCAAAAAGAAAAAATAATAAATATATCAAAATTCATACATTTGATACTTTTTAAATATAGAATCATATTGATGAAAAAAATAAGAAATTTTATATCTGAATTTTATTTGAATCTGATCTGTATCGAACTTTTATTTAAAAAAATCACATGTAAATGCTTATTACATTCGATTTTCCCAGTAATTATTGATCATTCACATGTGAATTTGAATAAATTCACCTATGATTATCAGTAACTTGGTTTGTGTATGATCAAAATGTTAGATCGTCAAAAAAAATCAAGTGAATTTACGTAGATTCACATTTAATTTAGTTAGATTCACATATAAATGGGAATTTTTGTTCGAATTCACATATAAATTTGATATATCTATTTTAGAGAGCATTCACATAGATATTTTTAAATCATATCAATAATCGAAGTGTTAAAGTGGACTAAGAATCGATATATTTTAACGATTTTTATACACGATGGTCATGTCAATTTTGTAGATTTCAACCACAAATAAATTTACTGATAATGTAACATCTCAAAAATCACGATAATTTTTTCATTTGAGATAATGACTTAAAAGAGTAATATACTTTTCCATTTGTATACATTTGATCATTGAGTTTTTTTTGTTCACATTTACCCTATCACCTTGTTTAACTGTACATATTTAGTCCTTATAACCGGCTACTTCAGGTAAGCCGTAAAAAATGACTTAAAAGGGTCATATATTTTTCATTTTATACACATTTAGTCCTTAATATTTTTTTTTGCATATTTAGTCCTTAATATTATTTTTTTGCAAAATAAGTCTTTGTTGTTTTTGTACACATTCAATACTTATGAACGATTTTTTTTTAGGTTCTTTTCACGATATATTATGCGGGACAATCATTAATAAGGTGTTTGGGGTTGTTCATGTTTATGGTCACTGCGACATCGCCTTCTAGGAGCATAGGTGTGAGAGATTATGTAAATTTTAGTAGTTAGTTAAATTAGTTGAAACATTTAGAACAAAGAATAAATTTTGTAATTGTTATGGTGATTAAATAATAGAGATTTATCTATATTCAAGTGTGTTACCATTTTCAATTAATTTATATTGTGTTTCATTTTTGCATGTTTAGATCCCCACTTCTCAAGTATTAATTTACTCAAACTCCACAATCCGTCGTACTATTGGGAGTGAGTATTGAGTTAAAATTGTTGTGAAGTGTTAGTAGATTGTCTATAGAAATTAGACATAACATGGAGATTACGACTAACGTTCATGAATGCTTAATAGAGATTTAAGTATTGGAGAAACCCACGCTTAGAAAGATTACTTCATGGATTCAATCACGAGTAATTCTGAGACGATAATATCTTTTATTCTTAAAACAGAAAGACATTTGAGTTCTTTGGATATGAGTTGGTTTTGTATCAGTCTTACTTTAACGTTATTCGAAACTGGTGGCCATAACGAGTAAGTTTATGCATGATTTGGCTCGTAAACAAAAGCTATGTAGTCGAGGCTTATTTATTCCCTTTCACCATAATATGAAAGGCAATATTGTGGGCCCCTCGGTGATTTAATGATGATATTCATGTGCTAGGCCTATCCTAGACTTAATTGATGTGTTCGATTAGTAGTCTGATTTGATCATCATAAATCAGAAATCGAGAAACATACTGATGGACTGTTAGGTTGATTCATAATCCATGACCCAGTCCACAATGATATCTTGAAATAAACAAAGGAATAATTGATCACTTATCTAAGGGCCAGTTCTTGATAAGATTGGAGTTCAACATTTGTTGTGGAAGGCACATTTTGTTGGTTATTCAAAGTCTATTTGACCAATACTAGTTAATGAATTGTCCAAGTAGGAGATTGTTGGAAATATGTGTCCAGTATCATAACTAATTGGTGTAACTTTGGAAATAACGACAAAGTTCTTTTTGGGTTGCCTTCAAGAGCAAGAAAAACTATAAATGATTTAAGAAATTGAGAAAATAGTTTATTAATTTATTACATGTTAATAAATTAATTGGAAACTAGTTGAAATTAACTATAATTAATTTGGGATTAATTGGAATTAATTTGAAGGTACAATGATTGAGTGTTAATTGTTCAATAGTTGAAAACATTCTAAAAGCCCTATATAGTGGATGGTTTTGGGAGGTACTTAAGAGGCTTCCAAAACCAATCCACATAACAGATAAGGACATGATTTAAATCTTAATATTTAATTGATTCAAATCAGGGTTACCTATTACCACCACAACCATATATTGTAACCTTTGGGTGCTTATATTTTCTTCCACACATACCTCCTGGAAGGCTACAAAAAACCAATTCCAACCTCTCTCCTAAAGTTTATAGGGTTCTTGTCTTTTGGGTGTGAACCATTAGAGGTTGTGACATCCCCAAATTCACGGTCATTTTAAAATTTTTATTTATGCTTATTTAAAAATCAGAGTATTCTTTTTTTGAAGAGTAGTATTGCGGAATTTGTTCCCATAAAAACATGATAATAATATTATCAAAGCATTTCCAAATAAATATATTTTATTTATATTAAAACATTGGGATCTCATCGTCAATACATAAACATAAGCATAAACAGACCTTACATTCATTTACACTAATGATTTACATCTCCTTTAATCTCTCGGTGTAATGTGTTTTCGTATCGATACCTGTGATACAAATAAACTGAGTGAGCCAAGTTGGGAAACCTGGTGAGTACATAGGGTTTTCAACCCACAATAATATAGTTATTATGTTTAATCATCAAACTATTAACCCAACTTCCCATCCCCATTATCTTCTTTATTCTTAAGGATCAACCCTAAGAATCATATATTCATCATTCATTCACTCCTAAGGATTGTCCTAAGGAATATACACGAAGTCCATCGTTGTCAGGGTTTATCCAACAGGTACTAAGTCCATAGTTGTCGATGTTATCTGTTAGGCCCTAATTCCATAGCTGCTAATATCCGTCTATAGGGCACTAAATCCATAGTTGTCAACGTTCATTTGTAAGGCACTAAGTCCATAGTTGTCATG